CCCCATTTCACCATAGTGGATTTTATTTTTTAGTTTATGACATTAGAGTAAAGAACACCTACAACCTAGATACCTATGGGTAGCAAATACCATTTGCCAGAGCTGTGATTTTTGAACTTTTAGAGTAAATGATAATTGGACGATCATAGCCAGGTTTTGTGGTCCAAGCCATAGTGAATTGCACTTTTTCTTATATCTTATTGAACAGAAAAGATGAAACAAAGTATCCTATACAGAAATAACTACATGACAGTTCAAGATACATTACTTCAGTGGCATAACACTTGCCTGGCATGCTTGAGAATTTGATTCTTGTTGCCACAAAAGCCAAGGAGAAAACTGCCATTTTAAATTTTAGAAGCTGTTTTTTTGGCTATATAGGAAGTCAAATTCAAGACTTTGAATGTGCCAGGCAAACATCCTGCCACTGAGCTACACACTTCTACCCCATGTTGATTTTCATAAAGTATATTTTTTAGACATAAAATCAAGAGAATAATTTCCATATGCTATCTTACAGGTGCAGCACATACTGTGTGTGTGTGTGTGTGTGTGTGTGTGTGTGTGTGTGTGTGTTGAAAGTCTCACAGTTCAGGCTGGTGTGTGTTGTCTCAACACACAATGATCCTCCTGCCTCAACCTCCCAAGTGCTTGGATTATAGGCATGCATCACTGTGCTGTTCTAGGTGTTTGCTGTTATTTCTGTGGGTTACAGAAGACAGATGAGCTTGATGGCCACTTGGTAACATATTTCAGCAAATGAGATATAAAACCCTGGGAATTGGCATAGAAAAGTGAACACTTATTCCAAGATGCAAAATAATTAGTCTTACTTTGTGGGCATACAGATTGTTAAATAATACTCCTAGTGCTGTGCACATCCTAGAGTTAAGGGCAAAGCAGGGGCCTGGGGAGATGGCTCAGTGGAATAAGCGCTTCCCTGGCAAGCGCAAGGGCCTGAGTTCAATCCCCGGTTCCGCCAAAAAAAAAAAAAAAAAAAAAAATGGGGCTGGTGAGATGGCTCAGTGGTCTAAAGCACCTACTTAGAGCAAGCTTGGCAGAGTACAGGGACCGCGCCCAGCACCACATGCCAGCCAGCCCCGCCCCCTGGTGGGCTGAGCTGACCACGCACACACATACATAAATAAATAAAATTAAAAAAAAAAAAGGGGGGCAAAACAGAACCTTATAAAGAACTTCTTCCAACTTTCTTTGGGTGGGAGGTAGTAGGGATTGAACCCAGGTTCTCAGTTCTGAGCTAATCCCCTTATTTGAACATTTTCCTTTATTGAGTATAATGTTATGTAATACTAACTTAGACTTTTTAAAAAAGGAAAGTAGGGGCTGGAGAAATAACTCAGCAGAATAAGCACTTGCCTGGCAAGTGCAAGGGCCTGAGTTCAGTCCCTGGTTCTGCAAAAATAAATAAGGAAAATGATGCCAACTATTTTCTTGGCATATGACTATAATCCTACTCTGGGCAACTGAGACAGGAAGTTAAAAGTTAGAGTTTAGCTTGAGTGACTTAGTGACTTACCAAGAATATTTAGCTCAGTGTGAAGGTCGTAAATTCAGTCCTTAATGTAGAATGCCTCAGAAGAAGAAAATCTGGTGGACCATGAGTTAAATCCCCAATGCCACATACTAAAATTCAGTCAAAGTTTTATCTGTACTCATAACGTATTGTGGATTTTGTTATCATGGATTAAACCATGGCCTTGTACATGCTAAGCCTGTGCTCTACTACTGAGAAAATGGGGGAAACTGAATTAACAACACCTCGCTATCATACACTTGAGGACACTGTTTCGGAAAGAAAATGAAGTAGGAAGTAGTATATAGCCTATACATGAAAATGAAAAAGATTATAGATGACGAAGGTATGACAGCACACAAAAATAATCACCAAGGTAGGAAGATCTCATATTGGAAGCTAGTGGGCCAGAGAGATAGCCCAGGGGCATAAATGCCTGCCTGGCCAGCACAAGGTCCTGAGTTTAGTTCCCAGTACCAAAAAAAAGAAAAAATGGAGGCCAGCCAGGGCAAAGTAGACGTGTCCCCCATCCACCACCAAATCTGCTAACTAGGCTGGAGATGTAAACTCTTGGTCTGGGCTGGGGAGATAGCTCAGTAGAAAGGCCTGAGTTCAATCCCCAGTTCCAAAAACCTCTTGGGCTGTGACAGTTTTCCTGTCTCAGCCTCCCCAGTAGCTGTCTCTAAGGTAACTTGTCTGAAAATAAAATAAAAATTAAAAATGTAGCTTGTCTAGATATAGTATTACAAAGAAAGTTATCTGCCGTATATAGTGAGGTGTTGTATGGTTTGTTTTCCACATCAGACAGGTAATGTGCCTACGTCATAACAAGATTTGAGAAAGGCACATTTCATTCATACAGCATGAACACCCAATCATCATGCTTGTGAACCGCAGGATCTGTATTTCTTTTTTCTTTTCATATTTTTCCTGTATTTAGGACAGGGTCTCACTATGTAGATCAAACTTGTAGTGATTATCCTGTTTTCAGTCTCCCAAGTGCTGAGATCATCAGGCATGTGCCACCACACCCAGTCTCAGTTGCCATCTCAGCAAGCACACCTTGCAGACAGGGCCAGGACAGCACGCCAGGGATTGAACCTCTACCACTGACTTTCTTTTTCTTTCTTTTTTGTAGTACTGGGGATTGAACCCCAGACCTTGCATTTGACAGGCAGGCACTTATGATGCTGAACTATCTCCCCAGCCCTGTATTTTTTTTTGTGGGGGGCGGGCGGTGCCAGGGATTGAACTCAGGCCCTTGTGCTTGCCAGGCTGTATTTCTTTTTGAGACAGGTTCTTTCTATGTAGTGCAGGCTGGCCTTCATCTTACTTAAGTAGCCCAGGCTGCCTTGACTTACAGTGATCCTTCTGTCTCAGCCTCCTAAATACTGAGATTACAGGCATGTACCATAATGCCAGTAAGTGGTTTGCTACTAAATTAAATTCTCTCCCCTTTTTAAAAAAATTACTTTGATTGAGGATCTCCCTGAGTTTTTCAGGCTTTTTCTTTTTTAATGTATGTATGTGGTACAGGATCTCCCACTACCCAGCCTGGATTAGTAGTGGTCCTCCTATTTTCAGCCTCCCCAGAGCTGGGAGTATAGGCATGCCCACATGCCCAGACTTGTTGGGCTCAGCATGCCCCAGGGGCAGGGCTAGTACGGCATGTGGGATAGGGAATCAAGCCCTCGATATACAGTCTTTATTGCCAATGAACTGTGCTTGAATTTATTTGCTTTTTAGTGGGTATTAGCCATTTAAAATTATTTTTCTATGCAATCTGGGAATCAAAGGCTTAGAGTATACAGGGCTTAGAGTATACTAGGGAAATACTGTACCACTGAGCTATGTTCACAAGCCTAAAGCATAATTGTTTTTGAGACAATTAAGGTTCTTAATTAATTTGAGACAATTAAGGGTCTTGCTCTTAATTCATGCTTAGCCTTCAGCTCACTGGCCTCCTACTCCTGAGTGCCAAGATTGTAGGCATGCACACCATACTCTGTTGTTTGGTTTTGGTTTCTTTGAGACGGTGTCACCGTGTAGTTCTGGCTGCCCTTGAACTTACTATGTAGCCCAGGCTGGCTTGGATTCTTTTGTCTCAGCCTCCCCAAGTGCTGGGCTTACAGGTGTATATATACTACTACATCCAGCAGCCACACTGGTTGAAAACAATTTCTTTTTTTTTTTTTTGAAAACAATTTCAATAGATGGTTTGAGTTCAAGCCTCCAACAATATGAAGAAACAAATAGTAACAATACTAAGGAAAAAGCAAATATTATAGGATTCGGGCACGTGAGATGGCTCAGTGGTCTAAAGCACCTACTTAGAACAAGCTAAGCTAAGCAAAAGCACAGCCACCTCGGTTCAATCCCCAGCACCACATGCCAGCCAGCCCCGCCCCCTGGTGGACTGAGCTGGCCACACACACATACACACACACAAATAAATAATTTTTAAATAAATAAAATTTATTGTGTGTGTGTGTGGCCAACTCAATCTGCCTGGGGGTGGGGCTGGCTGGCATGTGGTGCTGGGGGATTGAACCTCAGTCCATGTGCTTTGCTTGGCTTAGCTTGTTCTAAGTAGGTGCCCTAGACCACTGAGCCATCTTACCAGCCCCTCTTCTAGTGTATTTTAGATACAGGTACAGAAGAATAAAAGATGAAATTGTAAAAAAATTAATTCTTGGGCTGGAGATGTAGCTCAGTGGCGTAAGTTGGCTGCCTGGCAATGGCAAGTGCAAGGTCCTAAGTTCAACCCCCAGTACCCCCCCCCCCCAAAAAAAAGGCCTGAGGATGTAACTCAATGCAAAGGTCCTGGTTCAATCTTTAATACTCTTCCCAAAAAAAAAATCCTTAGCCAGTGGTGGTGGCATATGCCTATAAATTCCAGCACAGTGGACAAGCTGAGGCATGAGGATTTGCAAGTTTGACCCCAACCTGGGCAAATCAGCAATTTACTTGAGATCCTGTCTCAGAAGAGCAAGTGCAAGTGGGATGAGGTGGAAAATTCTTCAGTGGTGGATTACTTACTTGTGGGAATCCCTGGGTTCAATCCCTACTATAAGCAGCAATAGTGAAAGGGATAGGGAATATTAAAGCTCATTGCAAAAACTTGCATTTATTTCTAATATTGCTGCTCTTTCCAAAAGAGGCTTTAATACTTTATTTTTTTTTTTTAATTTTATTTGTTTGTTTATTTTGTGTGTGTGGCCAGCTCAGCCCACCAGGGGGCGGGGCTGGCTGGCATGTGGTGCTGGTGGATTGAACCAGTCCCTGTGCTTTGCTTGGCTTAGCTTGTTCTAAGTAGGTGCCCTAGACCACTGAGCCATCTCACCAGCCCCGGCTTTAATACTTTAAATGTAATAGTTACTGTGTAAAAGTTAAGTTTCTGTTTATTTTATTTTATTTATTTATTTATTTTTAAATATTTATTTATTTTTATTTATTACATTTATTTATTGTGTGTGTGTGTGGCCAGCTCAGCCCACCAGGGGGCGGGTCTGGCTGGCATGTGGTGCTGGGGATCGAACCGCGGTCCCTGTGCTTTGCCAAGCTTGTTTCAAGTAGGTGCTTTAGACCACTGAGCCATCTCTCCAGCCCCAGAAAAGATCTCTTTTTTTTTTTTTTCTCGGAACTGGGGATTGAACTCAGGCCCTTGTGCTTGCCAGGCACGCACTTATTCTACTGAGCCATCTCCCCAGCCCAAGTTTCTGTTTAAATAGTAGTGAAGAGCCTAAAAATAACCAGTACTATGTAGTGGAATAGCACAATACATTACTTACACCCTGCACTTTGGAAATTATGTAAATATTCAGTTGGTGAACTTGAATTTGACTTTGTCTTACTTTTCTCTTTGTAGGCAGCCTGCTTCTGCAAAGTGGTATGATCGAAGGGACTATGTCTTCATTGAATTTTGTGTTGAAGACAGTAAAGATGTTAATGTAAATTTTGAAAAATCCAAACTCACTTTCAGGTAAATTTACTGTTTTATGTAATTGAGTTTAAAATCTTATTTCAGAGAACTAAATAATCTTAGGGGGTTTGGGGTTTTTTTTCTGCAGTTACTACTAGTCTTTGAAGAAACTTACTACTTTTTCTTTTCTACAGTTGTCTTGGAGGAAGTGATAATTTTAAACATTTAAACGAAATTGATCTTTTTCATTGTATTGATCCAAGTGTAAGTAGTCTTAATGTTTTAATCCTGATTTAAATGTGAGAAATGGACATACTTGAAGTAATTTTTAGCAGTAATTTTTGCTTTAGCAATTCAGAACCTAGCTAGATTTACTTATGCTTTGTAACATCTTTCTCTTTTCTCTTCATATTCTCTGTTCTTGTTATTACAGTTTGGACTCACAGCAGCAAACTTAAGACTTATCTAAGAATCTTTTAAGGCATTTTGTGTTTTTAAATTTGCATTTAAATTTTTGAAGGTATTCTGTTTACCTCATGCAGTCCAGTAAAGGATGTCAAGTTAAATGACAGTCCTAAGAAATTTTTTGGCAGTTGAAAAGTTTGAAAATTTTAAGAGTCAAGGGTCTAGTTCTTTTAGTCTAGGGAAAATACAGAGCAAAAATTCAGAAAAAGAGAGCCAAAAGCCAAGTAGAGCAGCACATACCACCTAACGCCACCTTCTTGGAGGCTGAGTATAAAGATTACAAGGTTCAGGCCAATTTAAACAATAAGCAAGACTGCCTGTCTAAAGAAAAATGAATAAAAGGAGAAGTAGGAAGGACAAATTATGTTCTATACTGTAGTGATAATGTGTGTTGTGGTGTTTTTGTTTTCAGGATTCCAAACATAAAAGAACAGACAGATCAATTTTATGTTGTTTACGAAAAGGAGAATCTGGCCAGTCATGGCCTAGGTTAACAAAAGAACGGGCAAAGGTATGTTTTTATCTTTTTTTAATGTTTAGTATTTCTATATTAAGATATAAAAAATACATTTGCTTGGATAAGAAGTACACTATTTTTATTTCATGGCTTAAGAGCTCATCATGTTCTCTTTATTTTTCTTCCTTTTAACAGAAATAACATCATGGTCAGAATTTCAGTCACTAATTGACATAGACTCTTTGCATTCAAGAGATAATGCTTTGGGGCTGGGAATGACCCTCACTGGTAGAGAGTATCCCTTTGCTTGCACAAGTTCTTGGGCTCGGTCACCAGCACCATAGAAAAACAGGGAGAGATGGACTGCATAAAATAATACTTTAATTTTGCTTACCTGTAACATAAGAATATAGTTTGGAATCAGTGAAAAAAAAAAAAAAGCATAATGTTCAAGTATCCAAGAATAGTTCCTACCAATAAATGTTTCAGAAGTTAATTTTAATAATTCTGAAATTTGAGAAACTACATGTTTACCATTAAAGTACTTGCTGGTTTCTATTTTCATGTGGGTGTTTTGGTTTTGGTGTGTGTATTTACGTTTTTGTGTGTGCTAATTACATGTCCCATTAATGGGTATGAGCCTGTAGTTCAAAAATATCTTCAAGTACAAGTTAATCAAAGGGTGATGTTTATATTGATCTGTAGCTTAATTGGCTTAGTGTGGACTTCAATAATTGGAAAGACTGGGAGGATGATTCTGATGAAGACATGTCTAATTTTGATCGTTTCTCTGAGGTAAGTTTTATTTTAAATGTATTCTTTAATCCCCTACCTCAGTGTATGCTTCTGTAGATTTCAATTGGTTTTAAGAACTTAATGGAATTCAAGATAATCATTTTATTTTTAGGACTATACTGATAACACCAAATGAGATCTTAGTAGTGATTTTTTTTGTTTTTTGAGACAGGGTCTCATTATGTAGTTAAGGCTGGTCTTGAACTTAATTTATAGCCCAGGCTGCCCTTGAACTCACAGTGATCCTCCTGCCTCAGCCTTAGTAATTTTATCATAAAGTTTAACTTCTTAAATGATCTTTTAAATTAGTGTTCAAAAAATAATAGGGCTGGAGAGATGGCTCAGTGGTCTAAAGCACCTACTTAGAACAAGCTTAGCAAAGCACAGGGACCGCGGTTCAATCCCCCAGCACCACATGCCAGCCAGCCCCGCCCCCTGGTGGGCTGAGCTGGACACACACACACACACACACACACACTAAATAAATAAACTTAAAAAAAATAAATAAATAAATAATAAATGATATTGAAAGGCAAAAAAAAACAGTCTGTATAATTAATCAGACTAGCTTAGCTAGTTCTAGGATTGAAACATTTTTCTTCTTTGGAGAATAAATCCAATGGTTGGCTTGCATTTTGTAGCTGTATCATTAGTAGAGATAAAACTTTTTAAGAATCGTAGTAAATTCATTCTGAGATGTGCGTAGGTTTTTAGTTACACAAAGTCGCCTAAGCCAGTGTGTGTGTGTTTCTACTTGATTTTTCTGAGGTGGTCTCCTGTGTAGTTTAGACTGTCCTTCACTATTTGAGATTCGACTCAAACTTGAGATTCTTCTGCATTATCCACTTGAGTGCTAAGATTAAAGGCATGTTCCACCATACCTGGTTAAGCCTATTTTCTAAGCTGTCACACGAATAAATATTGGCCAAAACAAAAGGAAAAAAATTTGATCTCTCCCTGTAGACAGAATTGTCTTTATATATACATGCTTGAGTAAAGCTGATTAAGAGGATATTACCCAGATACTATGATGCACTTCCCTAATCCCAACTCTGGAGGCTTAAGTAGATCACCAGGAGTTCAAGGCCAGCCTGATACATACTAGCAAGACTCCGTCTCAGTAGAATAGCCAAGTATTATGGTGGGGGTGGTACCATGTGCCTATAATGGGACAGGAGAATCACAGCCCATTTAAGGCCTGCCTGGGCTGCATTGTGAGTTTGAGTCCAGCTTGCACTACAAAGTAAGACCCTGACTCAAGAAAACAAAAAAAGAATATTAAGTTTAAATTACATATATACCTATAAAATCCATTTAAAAACCTGATTTCCTACTGGATGTGTTTTAACATTTGACTTGGCTCACACACCTTCATTTCAGTAAGAGGGAAGAATATTCAGTTTGACTCTCCTCACATGTGCTGTTTTTATGTAGTGATTGGTTTAACTGGATTGTGAAAGTTAGTACTATGCAGTTATTCATTTTTATTGTCCTACCTTAGTGTTTTTTTGTTTGTTTTGTTTCATACTGAGACTCTAACTCAGGACTTGCTACGCAGGCACGGAGCTAAATCCCTGGCCTTGGATTTTTATTTTTTATTTTTTTAATGAATTTTGGACAGTGTCTACAGGGTCTCACTACATAGCTCAGACTCTAGTGATTCTCCTGTTTTTAGCCTCCTAAGTGCTGGGATTAAAGGCGAGTACCACCACACCCACTCTTAATCACAGTCTCAGCTGGCCCTGGGGGCGGGGCCAGCACAGTACTCGAATGAACCTGGCCACTGCACTCTGCCTGAGCAGGTGCTTTAGTCCACTGAGCTGTCTGGCTGTAGTTTCTTGATTCCTTTATTTCTGTCTGTTGCTATTGTATGCTCAGCACCAGCATCATGCTACACATATTTTGGGCATTTTTCACTTTCAAGGAAACCTAAAAGCAGCCAATGCCATGTGTAATCCCAGCTACTTTGGATGTTGAGGGAGGATTTGAAGTCAACCAAGGCACACTTAAGACTCTTTCAAAATAAAAGGATTGGAAATGCATTTCTGTATTACAGCATTTGTCTAGTATGCAGGAACTTTTGGGTTTAATCTTTTGGGGGGACGGAACTGGGGATTGAACTCGGGCCCTTGTGCTTGTCGGGGAAGCACTTATTCCACTGAGCCATCTCCCCAGCTCTTGGGTTTAATCGCTTAATAAAACAGAAAAAAATATTCAGCAGTGTCTTAAAAGATAGGGATCCCGGGGCTGGTGAGATGGCTCAGTGATCTAAAGCACCTACTTAGAACAGGCTTGGCAAAGCACAGGGACCGCAGTTCAATCCCCCAGCACCACATGCCAGCCAGCCCCGCCCCCTGGTGGGCTGAGCTGGCCCCTCCCCACACTTAAATAAATAAATAAAATTTAAAAAAAGATAGGGATCCCTTTTGGCGGGAGTACTGAGAATCAAACTCATGATCTCCACTTGCCAAGCAGATGCTACTGTGGTGCTGAGCTGTATCCCTAGCCCAGTGGACATACTATTTATCAATTGCTTATGTTATTTAAAACTGGATTATAGGGCCAGTGAGGTACCTCAGCAGACGGGGTACTGGGATTTGATCCCTGGCACCGTGTGCCATGAAGGCCCCGCCCCCAGGCATATTGAGCCAGCCACCAGGCAAGGTGGCATCTACCTGTAGTGTAGTCCCAGTGCTGCAGAAGCTGAAAATAGGAGAATCACTACCAGTCCAACCTGCCTAGTAATGAGACTCTGTACCTAATACATTAAAAAATAAAATAATAAAACTGGATTGTGATGATTATGATTATACTACAAGGTTTGACTGGGGGTGTGTGTGTATGTTTTCTGTGGTGTAGTACTTGAGATTAAACTCAGGGCCTTTGTGTTGAGCTACATCTCTCTACCCTATTTTATTTTGGCCTAATATCTCATTGAGTCCTTAAATGACCATAATTGAGTTCAAATTGGTGATTCTCCTGCCTTAGTCTTGTAGTTGGAACTATAAGCATGTATATTTGATTGGGAATTTTGTGTTTTGCTTAATGGTGCTGGAGATCGAACCCAGTGGGACCTCATGCTGAAGAAAGCCCTCTACCAATGAATAACTTCCCCAGCCCTTTTAAATTGCTGTTAATTGATATAAATAACACTTGTTTGAGATCTGTTTGAGCTTAAGTGCATATAGCACTGTTATTATTTACTAGAAGTACAGCAGGTCTCGAACTTAATAAAACTAGAAAACTTCATACCCACCAACCTGAAACTTCTGGGGAAAGCCCTCCTCAATTACTGTTGTACTTTGTTTCTATGCATTTGGATATTTTAGATGCCTCAAAACAGTAAATAAGGGCGAGAGAGAGAGCTCAGAGGCATAAGCACCTACCTGGCAAACACAAGGACCCAAGTTTGAACCCTGGCCCTACATGCTATGCGGTCTCGGCCCCAGATCCCCAGGCATCCACAGTGTGGCCCCTGGAACCGGGTGTGGTGGTGCAAACCAGTAATCCCCCAGCACTTTGGAGTTTGAACCAGGAGGATCTCAGGGAGTTTGAGACCAGCCTAGGGGCCACAAAAGTGAGCACAAAAGCAAGCCAGAACTGCATAGTGAGACCCTGTCTCTAACAAAAAACAGTACAGTTTTGTGACAATGGGCTTATTTCTCTTAGGTGTTTCCACAGATGTTGATGTTATTGCAGAATCCAATGTTGTCATTTATCTTGCCCCATTACTGAGCACTGGGTCTAGAGCCTTCACACTGAGCTACATCCCCTGCTCTTTTTAAATTTTCAGACAGGGTCTTAACTAAGTCACAAAATCCGTGGGCGGGGCTTAAACTTGGGCTCCTCCTGCCTCATATTGCCAGAGTGGTGTCATTACAGTCAGTGTTATACCATTCCTGACTTGCTCTTTTTCTTTTTTTTATTTATAAAGTTGAGGGCCAGCCAGATGGCTCAGTGGACTAAGGCACTTGCTTAGGCAGACACAGGAATGTGGAGGGGGGATTTGATCCCCAGCCTGCCGTGCTGGCCTCACCCCTGGGGCTCGCTGAGATGGGTGAATGAGACTGGGTGTGGTGGTGCTGGTGGTGCGCGTTTATAATCCCAGCACTTGGGAGGCTGAAAAACAGGAAGGATCACTATGAGTCTGATCTGTTCAGAGAGACCCTGTACTAAACACATTAAAAATAATAATAAAGCTGTGACTAAATGGTTTTATTTTTTTTTAATTTAAATACTATGGAAAAACTTTTTAACTTGAGATAAATCCTTTCCTGTTTTGTTTACTCTCTGGTTACCTGTGTCTCTTTAATAATAACACATCCTTTTTAAAAAGCAGCTAATGGTGTCTTGGGCTGGGGAGATAGTTCAGTGGAATAAGCACTTGACCTGGCCAGCACAAGGACCTGAGTTCAATCCCCGGTTCTGCAAAAAAATAAAGAAAATAAAAAGCAGCCAAAGATAATAAATTAGTATTTTGTGTAAGTTTGCTGTATTAGTCCTAATTTATTGTAGGTATTCAGGCTACTGTCCTCAATGTATACTTTTGAATAACTTTTTGTGTTTTAACTATTATTTGGCTTTTGATGTGATACTCAAGCCATTTTTACAAATTAGCCATCTCAGAAGTATTTGCTTTAAATCATTTATTGACTTGCACATTTAAAATTATAGTGAAAATACTATAATATACATGAAAAGACACAAAACCTTACAACTACACACAGGTCCTGTTTTTTCACTAAAGGTAACCACTGTTCAGAATTTTTATGTTTAATTTATCATAGATATCTTGCTGGGTGAATATACTAACTTCACTTTTTGTTTAATTTTCCATGTGTGCCCAGGATTTTTAATAATTACCTATAATATACCTCTTCCAAAAAGAGAGGTATATAAGTTTATTTGGTAATTTTTGTTTGTTGAAATCTACAGCAGACTTGAATGTTCAGGACTTTGCAACCTAATAAAAAAGGCTTAATTTAACATCATTTTAAAAACTAATTTTTACACTTCAAATAGATGATGAACAACATGGGTGGTGATGAGGATGTAGATTTACCAGAAGTAGATGGAGCAGATGATGTAAGTCTATAAATTCTGTTTTCTCTTTACTTTTATAGAAACAACACATTTATAAGTTGTTTTATATAGCTCAAAGGTTGATGGGGCACTTCTTTTTTTTTTCCTAAATATTAAAATGTGCCCATGTTTAATGGGAATTGTGTTTATGTATTGTTCCTAAAAGAGAATAAATTTTATAAGAATCATTGCAGAAAGACAGCATATCTTACTCTGTTAAGTTAAAGGATTACTTTGACAAAAACAAGTATCCCAGCTCCTGGGAGTCTGAGGCAGGAGAATCATTGTGAGTTAGTGGCCAGCCTGGGCTACCTAGTGAGTTCAAGGCCATCCTGAATTAGAGCCATATCCTGTTTAAAAAAAAAACAAAACAAAAATAGATAAGTCCAGCGGGTATAGCTCAGCAACACAGGTGCCTCTCTGGCAAGCAAGCACAAGGTCCTGAGTTCAATTTCTGATACCAAAAAAAAAGACAACAGGTTTGTCAAAGTGTATAATGAAGAGAGTGACATTGTGAAACTGTAAGAAGATAACACTAAGTCATTTTCTTGTTACTGCGCTCTCTGGCATCCTGTTTTTACATCTTCCATAAAAATCATTTAATAGGGGGCCAGGGAGATGGCTCAGTAGAATAAGCGCTTGCCTGGCAAGTGCAAGGTCCTGAGTTCAATCCCTGATACCGCAAAAAAAAAAAAA